AAAGTCATACTGTAATTTGTTGTGAGTTCATGCACTGTGTTGGTATTGTTCTTTGAGCAAGGTGATGCTCATGCACGGCTCATTTTATACACCAGTAAAAAAAACGTATCTTGCATTTTGAAAAAAAAAAAATCATATTTTATTTATCAATAAAAAGGGTTCAGTGAATGCACATACGAAACCGGTGGGTTCGGTGCCTCAAAAAAGGTTAAGATCCACTGTCCTAGACCAAGCCAGGGGACGTAACAAAACACACCCACAAAGTTCCACCCAATCACACGCTCCGAGCCGCAAGGTCCACATCTCATAGTTCTGACTGGGGGCAATGCACAAGACGGCTGCCACCGGGGGATAGSAGATGGAAGTCGTGCAATATTTTTTTCACTCAGCAGGGCGGAATAAGACGCGCAACTCGGAGTATAAACCAAGCTTATGCCTTCCAACTGCATTTGTGCAGGAAATACAAATTCTCTTGTTTACTCTGGTTACTAGCCTTTCGAAGCTTCATGTACAGAAACCTGTTCAAACACTGGAGCTTTAAGTATGTTCAGGTTGAATGTGACCCATGTTATGTTCAGGGTGAATGTGACCCATGTTATGTTCAGGGTGAATGTGACCCATGTAACATGCTACTGGCTACCTCTCCATGTCACGTGACCTTTGTTTAGAACTGTTGCTAGGACCAGACTGTTTCCATCCCATCAGGTTTCACTTCTCCTCCTCAGCTATGAGTGGAATGCTAATGAGCTCAGAGGAGACGAGATAATAACAGGGTCTAAATAAAGAATCTGTCAGATCAAACTCAGCTTCTGCCTGTCAGGAGCAGCTCTGTGAACAGTAGAAACAYAAACATGGTAGCAGCTAAACACTTAGTCAGGTTCAGCTGTTCCACATGGGATGTAAAGTTTACAGCGACACGGGGAGGCAAACACTCAACAGAATGTAAAAGCAGAGACACATCTAAAACCTGCAGGATAGTGGTCCAGGACCAGGATTGAGCCCCACTATGTAAACTAGTATTTAAAGCACTCATTATCCACAATAACCTGAACCCTACAGGTGAGCAGAGCTGTGATGAGAGGTGAACCACACCAGCTGGACTTCACAGTGCTGCTGTGTGGCCATGATGCTGAGATGAAACAAAACATGGGCACAAATAAAAACCAAACAGGTGCTGGCCTTCTTTGGGATTCAGGGCCTCAGTGGGTAAAAACCAAAACAAGAAATCAGACTTTGATGTGTGACCTCTGMCCTCCCTGAAGCTCTGTATGAACACTGAGAGTAAAACTGACAATGCATCGCTTTTTTATCTAAAAAACAACGATGTGTATGTATGTTATTCAGGTTGTTCTGTTCATCTCTTACCTGGTTACAGGTGCTGATGTCCACTCCTCCTTTCAGATATTCTAGAACCTTGTCGATGTTCCCGGCCCTTGCTGCTCGCAGAAAACTGGTGTTACTGTCCGACTGGAGGAGACACAAAACAAAACACATTTTTAAACTTTGTTCTGTTTTCACATGTGGGCACAACATTTGGTTTCTCTGCTCTGCCTGACTCCCTGTTTTCTTTAAAACTAGGAAGGACCATGTCTCTACAGGAACGATAAGAAATTTATGATTTTTTTTTCTTCTTCTTATGGAGCGAGGGCATGGGCTGAATGAAACACAAATGTTTAYTGCAGAATACTCATTCTGCAATAAACATAATAAATAAATCTGATGGAAAAACATGGACATGTCCCCTGTAGTAAAGGACATATGTCCTCTGTACTGAAAGACATGTGTCCTCTGAAGTGAAGGACATATGTCCTCTGCAGTGAAGGACATATGTCCTCTGCAGTGAAGGACATATGTCCTCTGTAGTGAAGGACATGTGTCCTCTGCAGTGAAGGACATGTGTCCTCTGCAGTGAAGGACATGTGTCCTCTGTAAAAAAAGGACATGTCTCTTGTAGTAAAGGACATATGTCCTCTGTAGTAAAGGACATATGTCCTCTGTAGTGAAGTACATATGTCCTCTGTAGTAAAGGACATATGTCCTCTGTAGTGGAAGACATTTCTCTTGTAGTAAAGGACATATGTCCCCTGTAGTAAAGGGCATGTCCTGTCTCAGTGTTTGGATGTTGGACAGGGTCCAGCAGCATGACTCAGCRTTTTCCTCCTTGTGTTTTGATGAACTCTTAATCCTGGCATCCAGTCAGATTGTCCTCAGCTCTGTGCTCATCCTGTGGAAAAACACTGAGGTCTTTTTGTTGTTTATTTATTTATTTATTTACTGCAGTTGAGCTGTCTTTACTTCCTGATCCTGATTTGTAAGAGATGTACAGCCGTTTTTTTTCCTGCTTCAACCCTGCCCCCGCAGAAAGCGGGGTATCAGGGGAAGGGGTCCAGCACTGACACCGCAGCATTGATGATGATGATGATGATGATGATGATGATGATGATGATGATGATGACCTCCCTCATTTGTCACTGCTGCTGTCTGACTGCAGCAGGACTGCACT